CCTTTTTACCCTGTTGGAGAAGTTTTTGGATGTGCATAGGGATTTGAGTCTTAGAAGATCCCATTCATCTACTTTATCTTCTCCTGGTTGTAGGGGCTGTTGGGTTTTTTATAATGTATTTATATGTAAACCCCTTTGTCATGCTATGCAGTCAATTCCAAGTCATAGTTACTCTATCTGTTACTATTTGTTACTACCAATAGTTTATTTTTTTTTCTTAAATGTTTGCTTTATGCTGGTTTACTTACAAAGTTTGTATACATTGTTTTTCACACCAGGACTTTCCCATTTCCTCTACCTTTCCTTCTACTCATCAAATTTTGTGACCCTATGATTACCCCCACTGTCCATCCTTGCCCTTCTGCTCCTAACTTATTTCCCTTGGATACTCATACACATTTTACTAATTATCTATTTCTGTAATAGTGGTCTTATACAATATTTGTCCTTATGGGACTGAATTAGTTTACTTAGTGTAAAATTCTCTAGTGCCCCCCCCAGGTTACAGTTTTCAAAATAATTGCTTCTCTGTGCTGCATAGTATTTAATCGTGTGAATATACCATAATTTCTCAATCCATTTAATTGTGGTTGGGTGTTTGGGCTCTTTCCATGTTCTTACAATAGTGAATAATGCTGCTACGAACATTGGTGTACAAATCTTTGTGCCTCCATTCTAATTTTCTCTGGGTATATTCCAAGCAGTGGAATGACTGGGTCATATGGAATTTCTATGTTCTGCTTTTTCTGCTAGAGAAAAACGCCAAACTGACTTCCAGAGTAGTTGTACCATTTTACAATCCCACCAACAATGTATAAGAGTTCCTTTCTCTCCATATCCTCTCCAACTTGTATTACTTGCTGTCCTGTTACACTTTGCCATTGCTACCTGAGTGAGATGGTATCTCATTCTGATTTCGATTTGCATCTCTCTTATTGCCAGTGATTTTGAGCATTTCTTCATGTGTCTCTTGGCCATCCGAATATCTTCCTCTGTGAAAAGTCATTCCCTGTCTTTTGCCCATTTTGTAATTGTGTTATCAGTCTTTTTCTTGTGGAGGCCCAGTAGGATTCTGTAAACTTTTTATATGAGACCCTAATCTGAAATGGTATTGCCAAATAAGTTTTCCCAATCAGTAGGCTTTCTTTTCACTCTGTTGGAAAAAGGTTTTGATGTGCACAGAGATTTAATCTTTAGAAAGTCCCATTCATGAATTTTCATTCTCTCCTGGTTGTGTAGCTACTAATACTTGAATATCTTTTAATTGCCTCAGAAAACCCTCATTGCTGTTGAGTCAGAATGGACCCAAAGCTGACCATGAATTGCATGAATTTCCCATTTTTCTCCTAAAGAGTAGTTGGTGGATTCAAACCACCAGTGAGGCACCACCTTTAGAGTAATAGTGCAACTTTCTACCCTTCAAGCTACTAGGGCTTACCTTGTTAAGAACCATCAAGGTGACTAAAACTCATAATAATACCATGAACAATGGATCTTAACCTTGCATTGTCCTGTGACATCCTCATCATCTCTAATACACTTAACCCATTGCTGCAGTCACTGTGTCAGTCTATCTTGTCGAAGATCTCCCTCTTTTTTGATGACCCTCCAACCTTCCAAGCATGTTATTTTTTCCAAAGACTAGTGCCTCCTAGCAACATGCCCAAAGTATATGAAAGGAAGTTTTACCATCTTTACCTCTGGGGAACACCTTGGCTTGCCTACTAGTTACTCCATAATGTTGACTGCTTACAAAATATTTTTGCATAGTTTTGTTAAATTAATTATAAATAAAGAAATGAAATGTCATAAAGGTAATATACATGCTAAAATTTTTATGTGTTAGTAATAAAGTCAGATCTGGACCTGTCAAGTAGAAAAAAACATGAAATTATTAAACATTGCCCTTCACTATTATATCAACCTTTGTAGAGTTTACAGCTTAAGTTACACTAATGAAGTACTTTTACTATATTGAAATACAGTATAGTTGTCTACTTAAATTTCTATCTGAAGAAAAATGAGTCAAATCTACCATGAATTTTAGCAAAATAAAATTATCTTCACAGAATTAATGAGTGTTTAAATCTTACTACTTTAAAATTAAAGGTTTTTAAAAAAATTCTTTTTTAAAAATTTTATTTTATTACTTTTGTGTACATACCATCAAATTGGATCTGACTGGTATAGAAGTAGATTGTCCCTCCTTTTCCAGCAGAGCATCTGGTGGATTTGAACTGCGTACCTCCAGGATATAGTCTTCACAATTACATGCTATGCATCAGAGAGCTGGACAGTGAATAGGGTTGACAGAAAGAGAATTGATGCCTTTGAGCTGTGGTGCTGGAGAAGAGTGTTGAATATACCATGGACTGCTAGGAGAACAAACAGGTTTGACCTGGAGAAGGTGAAGCCGGAATGCTCCTTGGAGTCAAGGATTCTGAAGCTTCGTCTGACATACTTTGGGCATGTTGCAAGGAGGGGACTGGTCCTTGGAGAGGGACATCATGTTTGGCAGATTGGAGGGGCGGCGAAGGAGAGAAAGACCTTCAATAAGATGGATCGATTCTGTGACTGGAGCAGTAGGAATAAGTGCGTTTGAGATGGCTAGGTTGGCACAGGCTAGAACAGCATTTAGAGCTCTTGGACATAGGGTCGTTATGAGTCTCAAGCAACTTGATTGCACATAACCACAACAACAACCTCAGGGATTGCAGTGCAGCTTCCTGCCACTAGACCACCGGAGCTCCTTTAATATTAAGGTTTAATCCATTTACTTACTCCACAAACTCAAAATTCTCATATTCTGCAAACATACAGACACATATACTCTCTAGAAATACTGCTTATAAATAGACTTTTTTTAATACCTGAGACTTGGAAATATATCTGTGTTGTATTTTAAGCATCTTCCTGGTTCAGTGATCTTTAAGTCCTTTTTGTAGTGTTTTTAAAAAGTGGTTATGAATAAGAACATTGGAAAAATGTTTTATATTTTTGTTTTATTAACAGGTTTGGAATTGACTGTCTTTCCTTCAAATGACCAAAAAGATTCCCTGGAAACTAGAGGTGTTATAAACGGGTAAAATTTTATTTCTTTTTCTGGGAAAACCAAACATACCTATTCCACAGGAAAAGCAAAATTTCTTGTAGAAAATGCAAACATACCTATTCTATAGGAAAAGCAAAATCTCCTCTAGAACTTAAAAAAAAATTCTCCATATCTGAAATTAATCAATGTTTCTATGTTCTTCTTGAGACACATTTGATATAGTAAATTTTAATTGAGATTATGGTAAGTGTGTCACATATTATTGTCTAGCATTTTAATTCCATTATGGTTTTGTATCCCAAATTACTGTTGTTATTATTATTTGTACAGCAAATATCTCTTCATAATTTTGGGGTTTTTTTTTTTTTCAGTTTCTTTGTTCAGCATTGTTGTTACTTCCTCAACCTCTCTGTAATGCCTTTATTTTGTTTTATTTTTATTTTTGTTGTTGATTGTTGTATATGTACTGTGGAGTTGGAACCGACTCATAGCCAACCCACCAGAAGGTTTTCAAAGACAATATAATTGCACTGGAGGATATTATCAATCCTTCTGTAAGATATATTTGAGGCTGAGAAAACTGAACTTGGATTTTGTCCATCTTTTTTGTTGTTAAGTCATTTATGAGAAAAAAAATAATCCCATTTTAAAGTTGTTGAATGACATTCTCTCATATAGATTCTCAAAAATTAAAGCCTTACATTTATAAGAAAATTAGATTGTTAATAATAAAATTAGAATCCCTTACATTTAAGAATGGGAAATAGTCCACACAGTCTTTTATAATCTGACTTTTTAAAAAGTATAGTCATAAGAAAGATGAAAAGAGATGAACACAATTGGATTGTAGATCAATAGAAAATGTACCAGTGCATTCCAGTGGGAAGGTAAGGCGCTCTGGTGGTGTGTTCCATAGGGAGCTGCAACAAAGATGAGGCTGGACAGTTTGGATCCACCAGTTGCTCTAAGAGATAAAGATGGATAATCTCCTGTTGTTGATTGCTTTTGAGTTGAGTTGAGTACAACTCATAGCAACTCTATGAACAAAAGACCTAATACGTTTCCATAAATATCATTTTTCCAAGTTCATTGAGTTTCCATACGCATGTAATTTAGCAAGTGGATGCCACTCCTGCTTCCAAACCTATTTTACATCTGGCAGCTCCACCAAACACTGTCCACATTGGGAAACCACTTTGGTATTTTATACACCAATGGCAGAAAGTTCAGCATCACAGCAAACCCAGATTACCTCAGTAAAGCAAATTGACGAAGAGTGATGTATAAAGTAAAAGAATGTTCCCCCTAATAATAAGTGGTCAAGTGTCGTCAGGTTGAATCTGACTCATAGTGACCTGACAAACAAAAGATCTGAACTCTGTTCTCTAAAATCATTTCTGTAAGATTATTAAGTTTATAATTTCCAGAAGCATCTGTTTTAGGAAGTGGATACCACTCCTGCTTCTAAACTTCGGTCAATCTGGAAGCTCATCCAAACACTGTTCATGAATAGTAACCATTATGTTATTTGACATGACTGTGGCACAGTGTTCAGCAAAAAAAACCCCTCCAAGTTATTCACTACAGCAAATAGACAAACGACTGCTGTATCACTTAAAAGATGTTATTTCTAAAATTAAAAAATTTCGACCAGAGGACAAATTTTGGGCTGAGGGCTCTACAGAGTTTTAAAGACATACCCTTGAGCAGGCTTCTGCCCTTGGGTCCTTATAAGCCAAAAAGGGGCAAAAGACCAACAGACATCCCCATTGTGGAGGGGAAAAAAACAATATCACAAATCAAACACAACCCAAAACTTTCCTTACATGACTCCCCTCAAGGTGTGAAAAACCTTCCAGAATGGAACCACTGCTCAAGAGTTTCCAGGCTAGCTGCTGACTCTGCAACTGTAGGTGTGCAATTTACAGCCTCCAAAAACCTCTAGAGAGTAAACAATGTATCGATTCTGAGTTGACAGCAATGAGTTTGAGGAGTTTTTTTTCCATTTTCCAAGATGAGTAGTCTTAGGTAAGAGGAATATATCTAGAAACCACTTCTTTTTATCTAGGCCATATATCTAGGAACAGTCATTATTTAAACTTCCAAGTAAATAACCACAAACATAATTCCATGTTTTTTACTTTCTGTTCTCTTTTAGTACCTGTCCCTGTATGATTGTACATAATAAACATATCGGAGCAAATTTCCCCTGGAGTAGTTTCTCATTTGTGGTGGAGTACAACTATACAGAAAACTCCTGTTGGACTAAACATTGTGAGAAGTTAAATATTCCATATATGGCCTTTAAAACGATTCTTCCAGACAGAGTTTTAAATAGTAAGGATATGAATCACACCCTTTTTGTTTCTCCATTGGGATGATTCCCCCCAGCCCTGTTTTCTTCTAACTATGGCATTAGGAAACTTGAGTCTAATCTTTAACCCCACCTTTAACTGTTTTACCTTGAAAAAGTCCTTTATCTTCCACATCACTTTACTTATTTGTATTGTGACATTTACTTGATACAGTTGTCTATATCTTATAATATTATTTTAAAGTTTTACATATGATAGCAAAATGTATTATGGTTATGGCTAATCTTAATAATCCACTACTGTTTGATAATACTGTTATAGTAGTTTTTAGGGCAAAGTATGGTGCCTGCCCCCCCAAAAAAAATATTAATTAATAAAAAAATCATCCACAGATATTTGGAAAATAGTCTCAAAACACCTCAATTATCATTTGATATATTTCATTCTCAAAAGCAGTTCACATAACTAATATTGTAAATTTTCAGGTTCATTAAATAAAAAGTCCATTTCTTTTCTATTTCAATCCTTTTAATACTATTTCTATCAATTTCAACTACTAATGGGAAATCTGAATAGATGCAAATACATTCCAATTGAATTCTAAAAGTCATCACACTGTTTATGTGCAGTCTATAATATGGAGAATTGGATGTTAATTTAATTAAGATCATTTAAAAAAATGGGCCCACAAAAGAGAAAATATAAATATTCTATAGTCTTGCTTAAGTAGTTTTAAAAAAAGTCTGCTTTGAGTAAAGGAGAGAGAAGTAACTGAAGAACAAGAGAAAAATGAAGTACCTAAAGATAAATTTTGTCTTATTTAGGAAGAACTTTGCTGGATAGATTTGGTGGTTTTCTTCTGGAAATTCACATTCCCTATGTATTTTTTGCATCAGAAGGACTTCTTAATGCCCCAGAAATACTTCAGCTGCTAGAATCCAAGTAAGTGGTTGATTTCATAACCTGAGAACTGATATGTATTTTCAGACCCTCACATGTATAAATGTATACGTATGTGTGTGTGCTTATTTCCAATTGATTGATTAATTGATCGTGTTTATGTGAAACCTATACTTGAACCAGGAGGAAGTCATCAGAACAGAGCAAGGGAACGCTGCATGGTTCAAAATTGGGAAGGATGTACACCAGGAATGAATCCTATCTCCGTACCTTTCCAATCTATATGCAGAACAGATTAGCCAGGAGGCTGGACTTTATAAAGAGAAATGTCGCATCAGGATTGGAGGGAGACTCATCAACAAATTGAGTTATGTGGATGACACAACCCTGCTTGCTGAAACTGGGGAGAACCTGAAGTACTTGCTGCAGGAGGTCAAGGACTGCAGCCTTCAATATGGATTGAAGCTCAATATCAAGAAAACAAAGATTCTCACCACTGGACTGATTGGCAGCATCATGATGAATGGTGAACAGACTGAGACTGTAAACAGCTTTAGTTTGTTTAGCTCCACATTCAACACTTTTGGCACCAGCAGCCACGAAATGAAAAGACGTATTGCGTTGGAAAAGTCTGCTGTTAGAGACCTTGCCAAAGTACTGAAAAGCAATGATGTCAGTCTGAAAACTAAGGTGTGTCTGATATAGGTCATGGTCTCTGCAATCACTTGCTATGCATCAGAGAGCTGGACAATGACTAGGAATGATAGGAGAATTAATGCCTTTGAGCTGTGATGTTGGAGAAGAGTATTGAATATATCTTGGACTGCTAAGAGAACAAACAGGTTCATCCTGGAGAGGGTCAAATGAGTCTGCTCCATGGAGGCAAGGATTCTAAAGCTTCATCTGGCATACTTTGGACGTGTTGCAAGGAGGGACCAGTTCTTGGAGAGGGACATCTTGATTTGGGAAGGTAGAGGGAGAGTGAAAGAGAGGAAGACCCTAGATGAGATGAATTGATTCAGTGATGGGTCATGGGAGTAGGTGTGTCAGAGACAATAGATTGACATATTATAGAGCAGTATTTAGGGCTGTTGTACATAGTCGTAGGTGACTCGAGGGCACATAACAACAACAATAGATGAATGCTTTGCTAGTTATGTGTCAATATTTCTCTCTTAATTCAAGCTAGTAGTTATAAGATTCATTTTCTAGAGATCTATATAAATTTACATTTCTTTCCCTATACCACCAAATCCCATCATCATGAAGTTGGTTCTGACCCGTAGCATCCATCCATTAGGTTTCCAAGACTGTAAATCTTTACAGGAAACTGTCCATCTTTCTCATGTGGAGAAACTGGTGGATTTGAACTGCCAACTTTTCCATTAGCAGCAAAATGTGTTATACACTGTGCCACTAGGATTCCTCCTTATGCTATTCTTTTATAATTATTGAATATTACTATTTGAATAATATTTACCAATTTTATGGACCGTGAATTATTTTTCATTTTTTTGCTCTTTTTATATTCTCTTGTTAACAGCTACATGAACATTTTATATTGTGGTTAATTGTTCTAAGTACTGAATACTTCCCTGTAATTATTGTTCATCTGATAGGACTTTTATTGTTTAATTGAAAAATGTGCCTCAGGTCTGAGCTCAGTTCCCTGTTCAAAGAGTGGCCAAGACCATAGTGTTTGAGGATTCTACCAGTAAGCTATTTTCATTATTTTGGGTTTTGTTCCACTTTTTTTTTTTTTTTAGTTTTGTTCCACTTTTATCTCTCACTCTGTTGTTGTTGTTGTTGTTATGTGCCCTTGAGTCACCTGTGACTCATAGTGACCCTATATACAACAGCCCTAAATCCTGGTCTATCCTGTGCCAATCTTATTGTCTCTGACACACATACTCCCATGACCCATCACTGAATCAATCCATCTCATCAAGGGTCTTCCTCTCTTTCACTCTCACTCCACCCTCCCAATCAAGATGTCTCTCTCCAAGGACTGGTCCCTCCTTGCAACATGTCCAAAGTATGCCAGATGAAGCTTCAGAATCCTTGCCTCCACGGAGGAGACTAATTTAACCCTCACCAGGATGAACCTGTTTGTTCTCTTAGCAGTCCATGGTATATTCAATACTCCAACACCACAGCTCAAAGGCATCAATTCTCCTTCTATCATCCCTAGTCATTGTCCAGCTCTATGATGCATAGCAAGTGATTGCAATGACTCTGGCCTGTATCAGGTGCACCTTAGTCTCAAGACTGTCATCATTGTTTTTCGGCACTTTGGAGAAGTCTCCAACAGCAGACTTTCCCAACACAATATATCTTTTAATTTCCTGGCTACTGGTGCCAAGAGTGTTGATTGGGGAGCCAAACAAACAAAAGCTGCTTACAATCTCAGTCTGTTCATCATCCATCACGATGCTGCCCATCAGCCTAGTGGTGAGAATCTTTGTTTTCTTGATATTGAGCTTCAATTCATATTGAAGGCTGCAGTCTTTGACTTTCTGCAGCAAGCACTTCAGGTCCTGCTCAGTTTCTGGCACCCTCTATATTATGAACCCTTTCAGAGCAATCAGCAGTGATAGCTGGACACCATCTAGTTATGTCTCAGAATCTTGGCTTAGTGGTAAAGAGTTTTACTGCCAATGTAAAGGCATATGATTTGAATCCACTAGCTGCTCTGCAGTAGAAAAATGGCCAGTCTCCTCTCATGCAATCTATTGCCTCTGAAAACCCACTGGAGGGTCAGCTATAAGTCAGTTCCCACTCAACAAAAAGGTGTGTAAAAAAAGAAAGGTGCATCAGTATTATGTATTAATAGTTTCCATGTGTCTTTGATTTTATTCACTCATTAGAAATTATAATTGCATCTTAAATTGTTCTCTCAAGTTTTTAAGACCCTTCTCTCTACTCATCAAAGTAGGATGTAGGACATTGTCTTTGCAGACTATGTTATGTCCTTGATCTTCCTCAACAGTATGATCTTGAGTCCCTGTAACCAGTAATTCATTACTTCAATATGTTTGGTTATGGTTAAGATGTTCACCTTACTTTGCCTGTTCCCTCTCTCTCTCTCTCTCTCTCCCTCTCTCTCTCTCTCTCTCCCTCTCTCTCTCTCCTGCCTCGTGTATGCGTGTGTATGTATGTATGGGTGTGTGTCTTATTACCACTGAGTTGAAACTAACTCAGAGCTTACCCTTCAGGTTTCCAAGTCTGTAAATAGCATAGGAGAGGATTTCCCATCTTTCTCCACAGGAGCCAGTGATAGCAAACAGAGAGGTGCAGCTTTTGAGTTAGCAGTGCAGCACACTATAGACTAGGCCACCAGTGCTCCCTTTCACCCTGTGGGCTCTATTATAAATGTGAATAAATTTGTAGCACATACAACTGCTGGTAGTAATATCATCTGTTAAACCTTTGATTGATGATGGTTGTTGTCCCTTTCACTTGCCCATATCTGTTCATCTTACTTGTCTGCACCTACATCCACTTGTAGATTAGTATTTGTTGTTATTATGGGATTGTGTATGTAACAGTATTTACCTTTGATGTCCTTAACTTTTTTTAAATTATATTTTGTGTGTGTACCATCAAATCGGGTCTGACTGGTACAGGAGGAGATTGCCCCTCCTTCTCCAGCAGAGCATCTGGTGGATTTGAACTTTGTCCCTCTGGGATTGCAGTGCAGCTTCTTGCCACTAGGCCACCAGATGTCCTTAACTTTTGTGCGTCTGTCTATGTCTTTCTTTTATTTATTGATATGCTGATCAATTCTTATTTTATGTACCTTTTCTCTTGACCTGACTTTATTGTTGTTGTTGTTGTTAAGTGCCATTGAGTTGAGTACAACTAATAGCAACCTTATGAACAACAGATCTGAACCTTGCCCTATTTTGTGCCATCTTCACACTTTCTGAAACACAAGAGCCCACTGTGGCACTCACTTGGCAATCCACCTAGTCGAGCGTTTTTCTCTCCTTCCCCAACCCTCTACCCTTTCAAGCATCATGTCCCTCTCCAAGAAACAGCCCCTCCTAGCAACATGCACAAAGTATGTGAGGCAAAGCAGATTTTCCCAATGCAGTGTATGAGTTTATCATGTCTGTTATCTCATTTCACTCTCCTCTTGCCCTCCTCTCAGACCTGGTAACAATGAATTAAGAAATGCTTCATTATTGTACATCGGATCATCATAAGTCACAGCTGACTTGACAGCACTTAACAACAACAACAACAGTGATCAATATTTTTTCCACGTAATCCACCAGTACTATGACTTGAGGCTTGAATTTTTTTTTTCTTCAAATCTCTCAGCTTGAAATTGCCAAACAAGTTCTTCTTTTTTGGTTTTCTAACTCCAGTTTTTTGTGTGTCTCATTAAAGGTTTTACTTTGTCTTCTTGAGCTGCCCTTTGCAATCTTTATTCTACTCTTTTACTTTATTTCTTCCATTCCTATTTTAAATTTTATTTTATTAATTTTAGTGAACATTTACAGAGATTTTGGATTTCCATTAATTCATTGTTGCACCTTTTACTCTACCTCACCCCTGACCCCACCCCACCCCCAGTTTGTTCCTCTCTTTGAAAAGCAGGAGATAAACTTCTTCCTTGGTATACAATCCGCCCTACCCCCCTTGCCCCAAATGCACTCCACTATGCAACCTTAATTCTGGATTCCTATGATAATCATAATACCCTATCATATATCACTTTTAAACTGTTCTCTCCCTCATCTGTTTCAGTTCAGTATACATAATCTATCCAGTTTTTCTCAGTCTTACCCCAACCCTGATGTCAGTCCCATTCTACAACAGTGGCACTATGCAGTACTTGTCTTGTTGTGACTGAGATATTTCACTCCAGGGTCACCCATTTTCAGTAATATTGCATGAGTTCCTTGTTTTTCAATGCAGCGTAGTATTCCATTGTGTGAATATACCACAGCTTCTCTATGCATACATTTGTTGATGGATACTTGGATTGTTTTCAACTCCTTGCTATTGTGAACAAAGCCACGATAAACATGGGT